AAATGGGTTTTTGGGAGAATAATAGGTACGTCTGTTTTCGATTCAATGCAAATTAATTATACTTATTGTTGCGAAGTGATTAGTTTGTTTGAATATATTTTTGATCAGAAGAATATTTTTAGTTTGGCTGCGTGAACAAAATTAATATCTCCACAAACATTTAGATGATTTGCATGGCACAAGGCTGTCAAAATCAAAACAACAATATGCTTTCTAGAAATAACAAAACATTTTTATATCAACAATATACAAAATTGAAGACTGAATTTACTCAGGTAATTAAAACTGAGTTGCAAATTGTTAAATTGATGTTTATCACACGAAAAATTGTTTTATGGCAGTCAAAAGTGTTTGTTCAATTGTGCAATGTGTATGTCAATATGTAGCATTTATAACTAATAATATAGCAGGGTTTATTTACCTTTAACTGTTATTTGAATTAGTCAAGACTATTAGAAAAAAAATTTTTATCTGGACTCACAGAAAAAAGATTTCAGTTCAAGAAATAATAGTAACTTTCAATGGAAAGAATGTTTTTCGATATGAAGGTGTTGTAGGCTGAAATACGGTGTAAGATCAGTTCAAAGAAACTTGTTGATTGATAAAAAATGTAATCTTCACTTGAATATCAAAAAGTTGTGTTTGGTACTTGTTGAAACTTGAATAAAGCATGGAATAATAATAATACAACACAAAATGTACTTAAGCAAAATGTATTGACACAAGAACGTGTACACAATATTTACAGATAGTTTGGTATATTCTTGGGAAGACCGTTCCTGTAGAATGGGTTGACTTAGTCGCAGTCGGGCAGAGTCTCTGGATTGGATCTCTTCTTCCTCCCCCGTCTTCCCGGTACCAACCATATTTACATGGTCGGTACTCCACTATGTAAGTTAGGTGGATCCTACCACAACAGTACTAAAAATGTAATTTTTAGTTTTAAACTTTTGAGTTGAAATCAGCAGAAGAATATGGAAGTTTCTTGCCGCTCAAATTCGTTCACCGAAGAGAAATGAATGACATCTGTTGAGATGAATTAAGTGAGTGTGTACTGGGAAGTTGAGATTAAGTTAAGAAGCTTTTAGCTCCAGAAGATGTGACGTCAAATTTTTCATTGGTAAAAATTCATAAGAGTCGAAACTTGTATTTCCTTGGATGGCATGTTTGTTGCTGAAGAAAATCTCAGTTAGAAGTTGATAAGTTTCTGTATCCTTGTAGTTGAAGGAGTGAATAAGATGAGTTCAGAGATGTGCAATGTTCATACGTACGTGCCTATGCGTGTGTCATAGCGTCTTCCCATAAGACGCGGGCTCTTCACTGAACTACATTGTTGTGGTTCTGAGAAAAATAGAAAAAAGTGGAAGAGTTGAAGATGTCGTTATAATGTTGTATGTCACGTGATAGGCTCGAAACACACAGACAGATTTTGGCAGTAAATTAATTTTAACCGTGCGGACGTAGACGAAAGCATGATATTGGCATTAATTGACCAATCAGGAGTCAGAGAAATATCAAGGCTTTGTGATCCTCTTCCTGCACAAATTTTGCAGTCGAAAGCAAGTGGTAGCAGAATACTGAATTATCATCGAATTCTGATTCGACTGCCTTTGGATCCTTTAATAATAAATACTTATTGGCATTTTTCCTTTTCAGAAAGATATTTCATCAGGTACTTATATCCGCCAACGTTCATGTCATACGGCTGGATCTTATTCATCCATTCTGCTTCGAACGGGAATGGATAATCGTCCGTTTTGGTTATAAACTCAACCCAATTCATGCAATAATTTAACTTTTATCAAAAAATTATAATTTCATGTAGAAAAAAGGATTTAAGCCTGACTCGGAAAAAAGTACAAATTATTATTATTAAACTTTGGACGGGGTGAATGAGATAAGGGATTTTATAGAGGGCGTTGGATATTATATTGGAGACTCTTGCCGCTAAAATTCAGTTTTGGGAATGGAAGATGAATCTAAATAGAAGAGTGGCAATGGACCTAAATAGAAAAAAGAAAATTCTATTCTCCTGAGGTGTATGGGACCACAGTTCTCACGTTCAAGAATAGGGGGAAAATTAAAGGCCTTAAATACGGCAATGGTACGATTATCAGTTTCCATGCAAGAAAAATTCAGCATCCATTGACCAAACAGCATTACCGTCAATTGAAATTTATAAACTCTTTTAAAACAGATTTTTAGTTTACAAGTTTACTAGTTTTGCTCTTTCTAGTATTAATGGCAATTTCCTTTCTAATTTTTATTTATGGTAGTCAACGTTTTCATTATATCATTATTTTATTTTCTACTTACATGTGCTACCTATTTTTGTTGTCGTTGATACTGTTAGAACTGTTCAACTGATCTAGTTTTTGGTATTTGGTAATGCTCTTTGCTTTTGTTTCTTAGGAGTTATCAAGAGATGTCGGGCGATAATTATTAGATTGAGTTATTTAATTTCCGCTTTTGGAAACCAATTGTAATGACGAATGTATCATGCTAAGTACTAATCATATGTGACAATTAAGAATAAATGTTGAGTAGACTGACATACCTTACTTGTTGCAAAGTAGTGGCGGCGTACACAGTGGATTAAAAGAAAAATATCTATCCATCCCGACAACGCAAGGCAAAAATAACACAGGAAAAAAATCCAGAACTTGGTTGGTCTATTCTACCCCACTTGCCATATTCACCTGACCTTGCACTAACCGATTATTACCTTTTTTGATATCAGCAAAACGTGTTGAGGAAAACTTTTACCAGAGTTAGCCGAAAATGTTTCCACATCAAAATCTGCAGAATTTTACTAAAAAAAGGTATTGAAGAGCTACAGGATAAGTGTTAAAAAGTTGTGATAAATAATTGTGAATATATAATTGAATAAAATCTAATTGTAAATTTATTTCTAAAGATTAAAGTTGATAAGCAAAAACGGAAATTATGTATGATTCAAGCTAATAGGAATAAGACTTTTTCAAATTAAAGATATGTGTATATCTTATTACCATAAATGGTGATATGTTATAGACATTTTCTTTTTGCATAGATTGACGTAGTCATTATCATTGGCCTGATATATATCCAATGGATATTATCGAATTATATCTGATTTTGTCTTTAGCGCACCGTTGATCAGCACAATATCTCCCCCTTCTCTCTCTCTCTCTATTTCTCTTTCTCTCTCACACACACGCACATACAGACATACACATGAGCTTTTTTCCCTGGTGCCCCGACTACATGAATTTAACCTTTTCAGCGCTTTACCGGTGGTAGAGAAAAATGACTTAATGCCCAGCTACCGGTTGAACGATGGGTAAACACTTGTAACTATTTTTATATCTACTGGGAAACATTACATACCAATCATTTACGAATTTTGACCCAGGAGCTCAGGCAGAAGTGTTAAAATTGTTCCGGAACGTAGGGCTCAAAGGGTTAAGCGTGCTATGAGTTTGGCATCTATGCCTGTCAAAATGGTTAAATGTAACCGTCACTTCTACTCCAATAGTTTCTTTCTCGCACTTCCCGACAGTGAAACTCCCTTCCGCTTACTTGCTTCCCTGATAACTACAACCTTCAAAAATTTACATGCAACGTCAACCGCCATCTTCTGTTGACTTGAACCCCGTTCATCTTTTAGCTTTTCCTCAATCCTCACTATACCCAGTTTTTTTTTTATTTTTCACTCTCTGTAACCCTCTGCGTACTAGTTTCACCCTACCTTGCTTGGGGTGAAATGATTAAAAAGAATCACTTTCTGTTTCGTTATTAGTGGTTTTGTAATAGTAATTTCTTTGTCGACTAGTTTATTGTAATTGTTGGGTTCCATTTTATAGGTTATCTTGGATTTATCTGGCTTATAAATAATTTTTTTGAATTGTTTATCTTTTTTTGATCTTCTTCAAGTCTTTTTTGGAAATTATTGTTGATTATGTTTGTTAAGTCATAAGGTCGTTTTGTTGTAGTGGGCATTTTATTGATGTAAGTCCAAATTTGTTAATTTTTTGGTGGTATCGTTGTTATTGTTGATACCATTGTCATTGTCCATATGGGTTTTATGAAGTGTTCTATTTTTCTCTTAGTTTGACTTTGTAGTCATGTAAGTTTGATGTTGGTATATTTTTCAATGAGTAGTTAAAAAGTGCGGGTTCCATATTGATGTAAGATAGATTTTTTTTTGAGAAAATATAATACAGAATTGAATACTGTGAAAAAGCGATTAAACAAAAACAAATATCTGCAAAAGTGCACAACTGAGAATAATTTTTCAGGAGCTAAGGCAGCAGCGATGTCAAAGAGAGTATAAAGCCAAAATTGGTATTGGGAGAAAAGACATTTAAAGCAAGCAGTCCTTTCAATAAAGTGCTCGATATCGAATATAGGATGAATGTCTGTAAAATTTGTCACTTAGCTGATATATATATATATATATATATATATATATATATATATAAATAGTCATACAAAAAATAAATCAGTAAAGTTTCGACCTGTATTACATTTATTTTTGTCTCGAACGTTACCTGAAATTACCTGAAATTAAAAATAATATCCATGCCTGAAGATGATGAAAGTATTCATCGAAAGTTCTAGCAAATGTACTGAACTTCTAATCCATTTAAAAAAATTTAAAAACAAAAATCGCGTCATTCAACAAGTGGTTAGTAAGTTAATGCTTTATTTAATCTGTTAGTGAAGTGAATTCACCATTAATTACATTAACTTGACTGATTTATTCTTTGTATGACTACTTCTTTATAATTTTAATTAAATTGCACCATTTAATATATATATATATACATATATATATATATATATATATATATATATATATATATTTCTGCAAACGATGAGGAACAAATGTATATTTATTATTAGTATAGATTTATACATCGAGCACTGTGTTATTACCATCAGCACTCATTCTGCGCTATATATATATATATATATATATATATAATTGTAATTACATTTCAATTAAATAATTAAACCTAAAAATTATATATATATATATATATATATATATATATATATATATATATAGAGAGAGAGGGAGAGAGAGAGGGATAGATAGATAGATAGATAGATAGATAGATAGATAGATAGATAGATAGATAGATAGATAGATAGATCATTTCACCCAACTAAGACGCAATAAAGCAACCTAGACGCAAGGGGTTACTGAGTGTTATAGAATATGATAAAAAAACACTCTCTCTATCTCTCACTCTCTCTCTCTCGCTTTCACGCTCACTCACGCTCTCTCTCTATATATATATATATGTGTGTGTGTGTGTGTGTGTGTATGTAAGTATGTATAATAAAAAAGTTAATTGTCAAAGTTGAATTAAACCAGGAAACAGTAGTAATAAAAAGTGCTCAATAGAGATATAAAAAGATAAAAATTTAACATACATATATAGACATACATACAAATATACATGCAAATATATATATACATATATACACATACATATATGATATATACATATATATGCATACAGATATATATACATACATATTTATGCATATATATATATATATATATATATATATATATATATATATATATATATATATATATATATATATATATAGCTGTCCACCCGCCTACTAGGGCGACTGGCTAATCTCTATTGCTCACCTTCGCTCAGGCACATTTGTGTTTGGTAAATACCCACAGAGCCAACCTATAGTTTATACTGCAACTGTGCTGAGCAGACCTTAGTTACAGGTTATTTATTAAGATAAACAATCTGCATAACACCAACACACTCAAACCCTTGGTCACGTTCTAACCAAATCGCCTACAGTCATATATATATATATATATATATATATATCTTACTTATTATAAAACGCAGA